TTCCATCAAGGCAACCTTTTGCCCCATGTGACAGTACACAACTTCCATGAGACAGCATAGCGCCTCCTTGAGGTAGCATCGCGCCTCCTTGATGAAACATAGCGCCTCCATTAAGGCAATCTTTTGCCCCATGTGACAGCATACAACTGCCATGTGACAGCATAGCACCTCCTTGAGGTAACATAGCGCCTCCATTTAGGCAATCTTTTGCCCCATGTGACAGCACACAACTTCCATGTGACAGCATAGCACCTCCTTGAGGTAACATAGCACCCCCATTAAGGCAATCTTTTGCCCCATGTGACAGCATACAACTTCCATGTGAAAGCATAGCGCCTCCATTAAGTAGCATAGCGCCTCTTTGTGGTAGCACAGTGCCTCCATTAAGGCAACCTTTTGCCCCATGTGACAGCACACAACTTCCATATGTGACAGCACACAACTTCCATATGTGACAGCATAGCTCCTCCTTGAGGTAACATAGCGCCTCCATTTAGGCAATCTTTTGCCCCATGTGACAGCACACAACTTCCATATGTGACAGCATAGCACCTCCTTGAGGTAACATAGCGCCTCCATTTAGGCAACCTTTTGCCCCATGTGACAGCACACAACTTCCATATGTGACAGCACACAACTTCCATATGTGACAGCATAGCACCTCCTTGAGGTAACATAGCGCCTCCATTTAGGCAATCTTTTGCCCCATGTGACAGCACACAACTTCCATATGTGACAGCATAGCACCTCCCTGAGGTAACATAGCGCCTCCATTTAGGCAATCTTTTGCCCCATGTGACAGCATACAACTGCCATGTGACAGCATAGCACCTCCTTGAGGTAACATAGCACCTCCATTTAGGCAATCTTTTGCCCCATGTGACAGCACACAACTTCCATATGTGACAGCATAGCACCTCCTTGAGGTAACATAGCACCCCCATTTAGGCAATCTTTTGCCCCATGTGACAGCACACAACTTCCATATGTGACAGCACACAACTTCCATATGTGACAGCATAGCACCTCCTTGAGGTAACATAGCGCCTCCATTTAGGCAATCTTTTGCCCCATGTGACAGCACACAACTTCCATATGTGACAGCACACAACTTCCATATGTGACAGCATAGCACCTCCTTGAGGTAACATAGCGCCTCCATTTAGGCAATCTTTTGCCCCATGTGACAGCACACAACTTCCAAATGTGACAGCACACAACTTCCATATGTGACAGCATAGCACCTCCTTGAGGTAACATAGCGC